TATTTTAGCTGTATTAATTGATATAAAGTCGCTGTAACAGCAATAACAAAAGCCAAATTTCAACCACAGCTATTTTAGCTGTATAAATAGTTGTAAAAGCATTATGATAACTATAAAGAAAAGTCAAAACCTCAGCCATTTTATTACTTTTGGGATTAAAAAGTGAATAGGTAACAAGTTTTCAAAATGGAAAGAAGACTATTGACCGACTTGCAAAAGTTTAGAAAATTTGGGAAGTTTATTATGCACGTACACCGTAAATTGTTACCACGCATGCGCATAGATAGAAGCTAAAATATAGCCAAAATAACTGTAATCTGGCTGTAATTTGTATGTCATAGCAAAAGCAGAGTAACGTGACTATCAGTTTTATATTAAATTTAGCATGTATCAGCGATGGTCAAGCGGACCTATGCGTTCATTTATGCGGCTCTAATATTAATACTTAAAGATCTATATATGGTTTTGTAATTAGTCTTATGAATTTGCGTCCGCGCTTGTATACTTATAATGTACTTTATAAATTGTAATAATTTGTAATGATTAATTAATCTTTAAATTTGATCTAAGTTTAGTGAGGCGAATGTTCCGGGATGTCATAGGTTCAATGCCAGTTAAAGCAAAAATTTTTTAAAAATTTTCTTTTCAATATTTTTACGTAATTTTACAGTCATTGCTGTAATGTGGCTATGACAACTTTTTTACGGCAAAATAATTGTGCAGCCAAATGGCTACGATATAGTTTTTAAAGCCTAAAAATATTGTCTCATTTTTGCTGCTACAATTTTGTCAAAACGTTACAATAACGTTGTGACGGTAGCTGTGCTAAACAAAAATGCTACGGTTTAAGCTACAACAACGTTATTGCCAGGGTCAGTTAGGAAATTTTTGGGCTTGAAACGTTAAAAATTTTCGAACTTCTTATCCCCTTAAAAAAATACAAATCACACCAGAAAATAAACATTAATAAATTTATTTGTTATTTGTTAATAAAATATACACAAGAACTCATAATGAAAATAAAAAGCAAAGTAGTAAAGTAGTAAAAGTAGTTCTACTTAATCAAAAAACAAACTATAAATTATAAATAAATATATTTTTTTCTTGCTTTCTTCAAAGCAAAGTCTTTTATAATAGCATCACAGTCAACATATTGTCCATACTTTTGCTCTCTATACAGGGTGTCCCAGACTTACCGAATAACCGGTTCAGGGTAGACTCCTGACGTTGTTCTGAGACGAAAGTTCTTTTGGCAAAATGTCGAGGGGTGTCGTTCCATATTGACGTAAGACGCGGTAAGTCACACCTCGCAGCGCTCATATCGATTTTCTATTGCGGGAGCGCGGGGCGTTTCACGCTAGTGCTTGACAGTTCCGCGCGCGTGCCGTGATTTCGTGCAATTCGGTGAGCGATCGGTCCGTCCTTTTTCGTCGGTCATACGAATGTCAATGTCGCGAAGAAAAAGTGTCGAAAAGTGACGCGCGATAGCCTCGCCACACACGTGCGCGAAAACGCGTCGCGCGTTAAACGCGAGATACGCGGATAGATAAATCGTACGCGGAGTGCGCCCGTGCACTGGCCGGCGAGGTCTCCGGCGGATCTGACTCCATTCTTCCTGTGGAGTACTGTGAAACAGTGAACAGTGAATGCGTGAACAATCGCGAGAAACGCGCTCGATTGAATCAATCGTTACGCGATGCACGGGGCTCCTTTGATATGCAATGTCCCTGAGCGCCGGAAAATTCAGCGCATCGATTGGGGAACTTTTGCTCTTCATAACGCCGACACCCTCAACATTTTGCCAAAGGAACTTTCGTCTCAGAACAACGTCAGGAGTCTACCCTGAACCGGTTATTCGGTAAGTCTGGGACACCCTGTATATAGCAAGGAAAGCGCATTTAGTCTGGTTTGTCCTATGGTTGATCTTAAGTAATTTTTTATTCGTTTGAATGTGGAAAACGATCTCTCTGCAGAGGC